TCATACATTAGCACAATAGCCCAGGTTTCTTGAATTACTAAATTCCTCCATAGAAATCTGCAAGAATTCAGATCTTTAATAAATATTTTTCTCAAATGAGTTTTTTAAATGTTTGGAATTTCCTGAATTTGGTAACTGCCAGTTTTGTCCTTCTATTTAAACCAACGTCAAAAAGTTTTCTTTGTTCAGAATTTATTTGGTTCCATGACTATAAGGTAAAAAAAAATCCTATTATTGACTATCTCATTAACAACTTTACACTCAACAATTTTGAAGTATGAATTTTTTAAAATATTTATTTATTTATGAATACAAGAGCTGGGGTACAAGCCAGAGATGCAGGGAGTGAGAGGATTCACCAGAGACAGAGTGGGATACAGAACAGGCAGACTGAGCGGGCAAGTCAGGAGAAGTCTGCCTCCTATAGTTTGCTTGCTATAGTTTTGCTATAGTTTCATTATTATTGCTGTATAATAACAATTTTTTATCTTTTTTGGGCTATTATGAACAATGCTACTGTGAACATTACTTAGGTATATCTTTGTGAGAGTTTTTCTGGGATATATGTTAGGAATAGAATTATGTCAACTTGTTTTTAGTGGTTGGACTAATTTATGCTCTCATCAGCAGTGGTAATATCTGCATTATTTTCCCTCAATGCTTTGTAATTTTTTACATCCTCCTATTGCCAATCAGATTGATAGCATTTCACTGTGATCTCAGTTTTATGACTGTATCCTCATTTTTTTACCTAAAACATGCTGTAAAGTTTCAGAACTTCATAATTTTTAAATCGACACAAATAATTTCATATTGATTCTTTTTTGAGTGTTCAGTAGAATTCATCATCGAAACCTCCTTGTTCCTAAATTTTGTTGTTGTTGTTGTTGGGAGGTCATAGCAAAATGTATTATATTTATTTTTAATATGTAATGATGTTTTTTCTGTTGCCAGAGATTTGAGAATTAATTGCTAGTGCAGTAATTTTAGCAGCATTGCATTAAGTGGCTTCTGTGCCCTCACCAGCTGTGGTTACTTATTCTCAGCAACTGTAGTTACCCTGATTCAATTTGTTTTTTGTCAGTTATTATAATAAGCTTAAGATGCTCTTTGTCTCAGATACCTTCCTATCTGAACATAGTAACTTATATTTCAGGAACATATTTATTAGCTAAAATTTGTCAATTGCACCACCAGCCAAAAGAGGTAATGCCTAAGTACTTGTATATGTAGTGCGGTAACACCTGAATTTTAGCTCTCAGCAAATCTGAGTTTGAATACTGGTCATTTAAGACAATGGCAAAATGATTGCAAGACAGTATAAGCCTATTTTATTTTTTAACCTACATAGTGATTTTTTTTTAGTGGATTAATTTTTTTTAATAATAAATTTTATTTTTATATTACCCATACAATTGCAACCCCCTTATTTTGACACCAATCCCTCCCCTCCCGCCCCCTACCCCCCATAGAGTGTCTCTGGTTCATAGTTTTTTGTTGATTTTGATTTTCACTTTCTTATAGTTATTCATTTTCCTGGTCCCTTATTTAACTTTTCTAGATTCCTGCTATGAGTGAGACCATCTGGTATTTTTCTTTTTCTTTCTGGCTTATTTTGCTGAGCATGATCCCTTCCAGAGCCATCCATGTTGCTGCAAATTGCATGTGTTTATCTTTTTGAATACTGAGTAATATTCCATGGTATATATGTACCACATCTTCTTGATCCAGTCATCTATTTTTGGGCATTTGGTTTGTTTCCAAAGCTTAGCTATTGTAAATAGTGCTGCTATAGTGATGCAGGTGCTCTTTGGAATGGATGTTTCTGTGACCTTTGGGTAAATACCTAGGAGTGGAATTGCTGGATCATATGGAAGCTCTATGTTTAGTAGGTCCAGAAATCTCCACACAGCTCTCCATAGTGGTTGGACCAGTTTGCACTCCCACCAACAGTGCAGAAGAGTTCCTTTTTCTCCACACCCTCGCCAACATTTGTTGTTGCTAGTTTTTTTAATATGTGCCATTTTCACTGGTGTGAGATGGTATCTCATGGTAGTTTTGATTTGCATTTCCCTGATGACAAGTGATGTTGAACTTTTTTTCATATGCCTGTTGGCCACTTGCATTTCCTCTTCAGAGAAGTTTCTTTTTAGCTCTTCTGCCCATTTTTTGACTGGGTTATTTTCTTTGTTGTTGTTGAGTCTTTTCAGAAACTATCTTGTTTTTGTATAGAAATGCTCCTAATTGTATGTTTAATTTTATGTTTAATTTTTATATCCTAAAAATTTAATGACCATTAATTAGATCAAATAGTTTTTTTTTTTTTCAGTAGTCTTTAGAATTCTCTACATAGAAAATCTTGTCATCTACAAATAGTGACCATTTTACTTTTTCCTTTCTAGTCCTAATGTCTTTATTTCTTTTTCTTGCCTAATGACCTCCCTTTAGTGTTTATCTTTAAAATCTATATTCCTTCTCATTCCAAGAACAATTTACTGGAAGTGACTTATAAAAATAGAAGTGGTACTATTAGGATAATTCAATAGTTGAGGAAATCAATCAAAGAGAACATTAATATAGAAAAATAAATGAAACTATACAATCAGTTCATGGCATAAGCGGATTAAAAAAAAAAGTCATCCTCTAAAGTTCTATGATACTGATATTGTTATAAAAACAATTCCTTTGTGTACTTCAAAATATCCAAAAGTAAAAGGGGAATATAATTTGTTTAAGATCTAGTATCTTAAAATGAATACACATTATTGCTTAGGAGAAGCAAAGGGTATTCCTGAAATTATCACTCAATGTTCTGGGAATGAGGACAGGTGGAATAAGAGTGACATCATCTTCTAAAGTTTCCCTGCAATCATATAGATTCTCCAAAGCATACCATAGTTGCCTATGCAAGTGTTTATTATGGATAGAACATGGATGTAAATGTGCTAGTGGTAAATTTCATTCCCTTTTGGACCATTTTAAAGCAATATTACTGCAAAAAAAAGTTTTCAATTGATTAAAAACATGAATAATGAAAGACACTTTTTATCTATCCTTTGTAAAAGATTGAGTTTGTAAAAACAAAACATGGTCCGTCCATTGTTAAAAATTACAGTGTTACACTCTTTAAAAAAATGCTCTTTAAAAAAAAATATTATGGGGCCTCCCTAGTGGCACAAAGGATTAAGACACAACCTATGAAGCTATCCACAGCCAGTGCAACACAAGTTTGATCTTCCCGGCCAGGAAGGTGACCCACATGGCGCAGCAGACCTCTCCTGACTCACCCACTGCTCCCCTCAGTAGTGTATTTCAGTCAGTATTCCTGTTCTGTACCCCACTCTGTCTCTGGTGAATCCTCTCACACTCCCCCCTAACACACACACCCCTCTGGCCTGTACCCCAGCTCTTGTATACATAAATAAATAAATCTTTTAAAAAAATTTTTAAAAATAAAAATATTATGCTTACATATTTGAATTCCCCTTTTTATTACTTTGTTCATTAAAAGTTATAATATATCATAGTGTTATTTTAAAAAGCAAGCTTCACATGTTGTTTTTCTACAAGAGAAAATATGTCCTTTTGGGCTGGTAGACATTCTATTCTTACAATAGTTTTAACATCATGTATAAAAAATATTTGAACTTTTTTTCATTTGCATTCTTATTTGTTTTCTGTCATGTTTGACAAATTTAAAACACAAATAAGTGATAGCAAATGTTACTGGAGTTAAAATAACACTTCTTCTGACTACAAACTAGTGATGTTTTGTGGTCTAGCAAAACTGATAAATTAGGTGCTGTTTTAGGGTTCAGCTAGAACAAATGAAAATAATTTAACAGAAAAACAAAGAAAATGAAACACTGAATCACTACAATTTTTTCAAGATGAGAGAATCAATCAAAAGCTCTGGAAGTAACTTGAGTTTAACAGCATGATTGTGGATGTTTAGCAATTAAGTAGTGTATTCATTCTGAAAGATTTATGGCCCTTATTTTATGACAAACTTTACTACAGTAATACAGGGACCATACAAATTATGACACATAGCCCAATCTGTTAAAAGGAGAAAAACATTACATCTCTCAAGAAGTATAACAGAAAAGTAGTCAACATGCTGCAAATGTTGATGTTTAAAATACTAGCTTAGGAAAAAACATATGCTTGGTTTTTTGTTTATGTCAGACAAGCAGTGAGATAGCAGTTTTAATATTTTGTTTATACACGTACCCCAATATCTGTAATACAAAATTTAAAATACATAGTAATACTCTAGCTCATTCATAGCAAATAATTATTGAAAAGGAAGTCTTTACAGTGTTTCACAAAAGAAAGGGCCAGTGAATTATTTTTGATGAGAATAATGATAATGAAGGTGATAACAAGTAGGTTTAGAAGTGAAATTTCTAAATGGGGAATAATTATTTACCTTGCCTCATTTCAAGTAATTGATATATGCTTTCTTAGAGTCCCGAGGGTTGACAACTTAAGATGAGATGACAGCTTTAATACAGAGCTTAAAAACCTAGCTATATGATAGTATTTGCCAACCAATAATTACTTAGTTGTAATTTTACTGTTTTATAGTTTGTTGTTACTTGTTCTCTCTCCCACCATTTAACCTTTTCAAAAGATTTAATTTGTGAGCATTTTAAATTATGAAATTTAAATCAAACGGTAAAATTATTTTGTGTTTTCAAAATGAGCAAGTACAGACATTGAGAGGCTATTAATAATGGATAATTAGACCTTTTTGGCTGAAAAGCAGCTTTTCTAATTAGGCATTACAACAGATAATTTTTTTTATGGTTTCTCTCAATTTTAAGTTCTTTTGTTTAATTGCTTAAATGAATCAGTGAAATATTAAGCCAGTTGTATACAGCAAGTGGATTAAGACCTATTTATAATAGATCTGGTCTTTATTTTTATGAAAAAATATGGCTATTTTTGTACTATGCTATTTCTCTGTTTGAAGTCATTCTCTTTTCTTCACTCAGGTTATTTCACAGTTGAGGATCTTGGGCAGATCAGTAACAGCTGGTTGCAAATTTGATAGAGAAATTTGGTCTAATGAACTTTCCCCTGTCCTCAATTTGTGGAAGAAACTAAACCAGGTTGGTAGTGCAAATATTCCTATTTTATACCCATTCTTCTCCCTATTCTTCTTTCAAATTTTATGCCAGAATTGTCCACATTGGTACTTATTTTTATTATTCTGCTCTTAAATATACTGGGAAAACATGGAGAAAATAATAGTAAATACAAGTAGATCAGCCCAAGCAGAAGTGCCACAGGTAATTTGTCCTCTCTCCTGGGTCATGTGTCTTGTCATCTTCTATACCTGCTATACATTTTATTCACTCTTCACTTTTTCTTTAGTCTTTCTGTAAAATCAATGACTGCTATTAGAGGTGTAATATTTTAAAGGAATCAGAGTGCTGACAAAAAACAGTCATCAACTGGAGTTAACTTGTCTTTACATGGTAAAATTGTAATATTACAGATTACAGTAATTAGATGCTTGTTCACTAGGCAAAGCTAATACATGATTCCTATTCCTACTGAATATGGGTTTGTTCTCTGCTATATATATATATATATATATATATATATATATATATATATACCTTTTCAATTCATATGCTTAGTAATACTATACAAATATCTACATAACAATTCTGGCCCTTTTCAAGAAGGGAAATGAAATAAGGTTTATTTAACCTATAAAAAAGGTTAAAACACTCAAAATTTCAAAATCCTCAAACCTTAGTATTTTATTGTAATTTTTGAACTATCATGCCTTAGTTTCAACAAGTGTCAGAACTCTCAATAAAAATCATCCCAAATGAGAGAGAGATCAACATGGCAGCGGGGAAACGCTGCGAGTAAGACCTACCATAAAAAAAAGTTAATAGGGAGGAAAAGCAGCAGGTCCCTGCGAGAACTGGGACACGGAAGATAAATAGGCAACTCTGGCAAACTGCCCAAAGAAGAAAGTTGCCATACAAGAGGACTAGAAGGGAGGAAAGCTCAGAACCCTGCTACCCTCCCCCAACCACAAAGTCGGCACTCTCCCACCAACAGAAACGAGGAAAAAACAACAACAGCAACAAAAAACTTAAACAACCAACAAGAACAAACTACGCATCAAGTGAGACTGTGAGTGGAAAGGAACTATTTCAGACATCGCACCCTGTGAACTGGAACTGTGAACTGGGCAGAAATTGCCGCGGCTCTGAGCGCCATTAGAGGAAGATGAGAACTCCATGGAGACCTACAAATAGCCCAAGGCCAGCCTGGAAGCTTACACAGATTGAGGATCATGGCGGCCCAGGTCCCTGCACCTGCAACCTAGGCTAGCAGGGTGACGCACGCGAGGGAGGGAGCACTCCTTGAGGTGAATGTCACCCACTGAGTAATCAGAAACCAGGCATCCGGACATAGGAGCTGGGTGCAAAAGGCGCCATTTCTGCAGACACTGAACTGGGCTACAGCCCATGTCCTGGAGCTGAGGGCTCTGGAACTGAGACCCGGGGCACGAAATTCTGGACGTTGGATCCCCACGAAGGTGGGACACAGGACAGACACAGCACCCCCACGCCACTACCACTCTGTTGCCCCGGACCCACAGAAAAAAAAAAAAAAAACAGTTCGGGAAGGACACTAGGAAAGATCTCTGGTGCCATCTAGCGACCAAAAAAAAAATCACTAAAATTGGAAACCAGGGATCCCCAAAACACCCTCAGGCTCTGAGATAGGGTGGGCCACACAAATAGGGGTAAAGAGGGAAAGAAGGCAAGGAGCAAGACCCCATCCTGGAACTGAGAGCCAGACACAGGATCCAGGGTGTGGGACGCGCCATAGCAGCGGGCACTGCATAGGGTGACAGCCAGCGTTTTGGATCTGATAGCCCTGGAACTGAGACCTAGAGTGCAGAATTCAGGGTGCAGGATCCATACATCTGTGGGCACAGCACCAGGTGAACAAGGGGCAGACACAGCATCCAGCTTGAATAAAAGCCCCTGTGTTGAGGTGCTCCACTCCGCCCTCCCCCATTTCTCAGAAAACCACTGGGAAAAAGCACAGGTCAGCAAGTACAGGTCTCTGGCACCACCTCATGACCAGAACAAAATCACCAATTAGCTGATTCCCTGTCAGAACTGAGTAAATACAGAGGGAGGGAACTGTCAGGGACAGTGCCCAGCAACACAGCATAAACACCCTGGTGGAGTTTTGGCCTACCAGTGCTGGTCTCAGTCTCGTAAACAGTTTCTGACACCCCTAAAAGAGCACTCCATAGAGATGCCCACTAACACCAGTGGCACAACGTCCCAATGCATAGAACTAATCAGAAAGCAAACAACAGGGAGAAGAAAAAATATAAATAACCAAGTAAGCCGGCAGGAGGACATACCACAAAAAGAAGTAGAGTCACCAGAGCTCAACAATGACATAGAAGAACTTCTCGGCCTATCAGATAGAAAATTAATGATCATCATGATTCAAAAGCAGAAAGAAAACAAAAAGGGAAAAAAATGATTTGAGACAAATAATCACTGAACTGAAGAATGAAATTGAGACCTTAAGAAAGGAAAGAAAGAAACTCAGGAGATTGAAAGATTACTAGAGAAGATAAAGAACTCTGGGAAAAGCAATGAAAACAGAATCGATGAAATGGAAGAATGGATCAGTACTATCGAAGATACAGAAATAAAAAGAGCCAAAACAGAAAAGGAGGGAGAAATGCAAATGAAGCAGTATGAGGAGACTCTTAGACAATTATGAGACTCCATGAAGAGAGGAAATGTAAGAGTTATAGGCATTCCGGAAGGTGAGGAGAGAGACAAAGGACCTGAGAAATTATTCAAGGAAATAATTGAAGAAAACTTCCCAAGCATGGAAAAGGAGAAGAATATAGACATACAAGAAGCAAGAAGAACTCTCAATTACCACAATGAAAAGAAAACTACAGCAAGACACCTAATAGTAAAGCTTGCAAGAATCCAAGAGAAGGAAAAAATAATGAAACTGGCAAGGGGGACGAAACAGATAATTTATAAGAGAAAAACAATCAGGTTAACTTCAGACTTCTCCGAAGAAACATTACGGGCAAGAAGAGAATGGAGTAACATATTCAGCAAACTGCAAGACAGCAAATGCCAACCAAGAATACTTTACCCTGCAAAGCTCTCCTTCCTCTACGAAGAAAAATTATGGACCTTCTCAGACAAACTGAAACTCCAGAAGTTCATTACAGCTAAACCCCCACTCCAAAAAATTCTACAAGAAGTCCTAAAGCCAAAACCAACAGAGGAATGAACAAGAAGAACAGAATAAAACAAGGAATAAAATCACAAAAAAAGACAAACAAAATGGCAAATACAGATGCCAACATATTAATATTTACTCTAAATGTAAATGAATCAAACTCATCAAAAAGACACAGAGTAGCAGACTGGATTAAAAAACAAAATCCAACCTCCTGCTGTCTCCAGGAAAAACATTTAACCACAAAAGATAAACATAGACTCAAAGTAAAAGGTTGGAAAACATTCCTACAAGCAATTGGACCAAAAAAGAAGGCAGAAACAGCCATACTTATATCAGATGAAATAGACTTCAAATTAAAAAAGGTAAAAAGAGGGCCTCCCCGGTGGCGCAGCGGATGAGCGCTGGGTTGCGAAGCTGCCTGCAGCCTCTGCAGCGCAGGTTTGATCCCCGGCCACCTGGCAAGAGTCCCACATAGCTCGACAGACCTCTCTTGTCTAGCCCTCTGCTCCCCTCAGCAGTGTACTGGGGTCCTTCTGCCTGCTCTGCTCCCAGCTCTGGATCTGGTGAATTCTCTCACCCTCCCGCGCTTCTGACTGTACCCAGTGCTTGTATAAATAAATAAATCTTAAAAAAAAAAAAAAAAGGTAAAAAGAGACATAGGCGGACACTATATTATGATCAAGGGGACAATACATCAGGAAGATATAACACTCATCAACATATACTCACCAAGTGAAGGGCACCAAAATATATTAGACAATTATTATCAGCTCTGAAAACAGACATTAAAGAAAATACATATATAGTGGGAGACTTCAATACCCAACTCTCACCAATGGATAGGTTAATGAGACAAAAAAATAAACAAAGACACTAGAGCCCTAAATAAAGACATAGAACTCATGGACTTAACAGACATCTATAGATCACTGCACCCAAATATATCCCGAGTACACATTTTTCTCAAGTGTGAATGGATCATTCTCCAGAATTGATTACCTACTGGGCCACAAGACAAACATCAACAGATACATGAAGATCAAAATCATTCCAACTCTCTTCTCTGATCATAAAGGCATCAAGCTAGAAATAAATCATGAAAAGAAAACAAGGTACCCTCGCACTTCATGGAGATTGAAATCCTCACTACTAGAAGGCCACTGGACTAATGAGGAGATCAAAGAATAAATTAAAAAAAAAATACTTTGAGTTAAACAACAAGGAGGACCCCACTTTCCAGAATGTATGGGACACAGCAAAAGCAGTAATAAGAGGAAAATATATAGCAGTACAGACTCACATCAACAAACAAGAAAGAACTCAAACAACCTAATCTCACATCTCAAAGAGCTAGAAAAAGAACAACAACAACAAAAAAAAACCTAAAGCCAGTAGAAAAAAGGAAATAATAAAAATCAGAGCAGAAATAAATGAATTGGAAATTAAAAAAAAATCCAAAAGATCAATGAAACCGAAAGTTGGTTTTTTGAAAAAATAAACAAAATAGACAAACCTCTAGCCAGGCTCACAAAGAAAAAATGGGAGAAAAACACATATTAATAGGATTATAAATGAAAGAGGAGAAATCACAACAGACTCAGTAGAAATCAAAAGAATAATGAGATTACTATGAACACTTACATGCAAACAAATTCAACAACTTAGAAGAGATGTGCAAATTCCTAAAATGATATGATCATCCAAAGCGGGACAAAGAAGAAATAGAACAACTAAATAAACCAATTATAAGCAGTGAAATTGAGGCAGTAATCAATGCACACCCAAAAAACAAAAGCCCAGGCCCAGATGGCTTCACAAATGAATTCTACCAAACGTTCAGCAG